AAAACATATTATAGTTTATATCGCTGAAAAGCTTAAAAAATTACGGTTTTTATGAATTCATGGCCAACTATGGTTTCCATTTAAAAAAACATATGTTTGTGTCATATGTCAAAAATGACATAATAACAAACTCATTAGGGATGCGATTATCTACAACTTTTATCTGAAAACTTTTTGTCTAAAACAGATTATAATGGAATTAGAGACAATTTTTAAGATAGCCAAAATTTATTTTTTTCGAAATATCTAGTAAGCCATGAACTTTTTGAAAAATCTGAAAGGCGCATATTTATGACCCCATAAAACTGCAATTCTTTACCAATTTAACCGACTCTCTATCTCCAGTAGTTTCTGAGATACCCATAGAGAACATCGTAGGAAACTCACCCTATATATACGACCAGTTGCTAGACAGAGAGACAAAATAAAAAACGGCATACAGTGTTGCCGGTTCGTACGAAAAAATAATAAACGAAGATAATATATCTAAGCTATTCAATAATGCTCATTTCTGTTAGACAGTTGTTTAAGAATCTATTATATCTGTAGTAAAATGAGTTACTAATTGTGAAAAATAAAGTTTCAACCCTAGATGCAACATTTTTCGTAAACACCTTTGTTGTGTGTGCGGTTTGAAATGTTGATGCAAAATGCGGCAATACCGCATGGAAGAATCAGCCTAACTTTTATCTCTTTTTAATACATTTGATTTTTTATTTAAGCTGTGTACATCACTATCTTACACGTTAAAATCCAGACCACGCAGTTTCGATGACCAGGGGCCTGTAACAAACGTACAATATTAATTATTATAACAAGTCTAAAAGTTACAAGTAATGTGCCTGTAACTACAACTCCTACTGAATTTCGTATCACAACGCAAAAAATTGCTACAAGTGTAGAAATTAAATAATTTTGTACCGTCAATAATGCGTTGGGCATCTGTAGCTCCTAGAATAAAACACTTGGGAATTTTGTTTAAGTGTAAACCTAAAGTATGTAAAAGAATGTATTTCAGGAAAATATTTTAACTTCTATAGGGTGGCTCAAAAAAGGGTGAGTGGATCGGAATGATTTTTTTTAAATGGAACACCCTGTATATTATTGCATTTTTGGCTTCCTTTCAGATCACTTTGCATAGTCCTAAGATATGAGTAAATATATTTCGATAATTTCATAGATATTAATAAATAAATAAAAAATATATATTTTTCAACCTTCATTAAAAAAATTGTTACAAATACAAGAACGGTCCTGCAATCAAAACTGTATTAGGTAGTTACTTTAGATAGGCTGTGCTTACTTTGCTATAAATATTGTAATCTTAAATCATACAGGATGTCAACATTCTACGCCAAACTTTCTAAGTCATAAAATAATTTCTCTTGTTTTTTTAATGGGACACCTTGTATATTATTCCTTTAATAGATGGAGAAATTGAAAAATGAACATTTTTTGTATTTAGAATATTCCAAAAATTTTTTAACGGTTTCGCAGATATTCGCAGTTTTATAATTTCATATTGCATTTCTCTACAGTAAATTTTTATCAGACAACCAATGATTTTTCTCTCGTATTTAACCGTTGGGCGTTGCTTTGAATAAAATTCCTTAAATTATTTTAATTAACCGATTTGGAATACATTTTTAATTTGTAATTCTTTATAATTGCTAAAGTTTTTCAGAGTTTAAATACGGAATAATAAAACAAAAGAGAACCTAATAAATATTCAAAATTAATTTTCATAGAAGTCGCTGGGCTTCGCCGACCCTCCGCTTTATCGGCTTTTGCTCCGACTTTACAAGAAACCGAATTCGCAAATGCCAAAAGACTTTGAGAATCCTATTAATTACCAATGAAAGTTAAACACAAGAGATCAAAGAAACCCGAAAAAGTCTATAATCAGTTTCTTTTCAAGTTGGAATACAAATGGAAAGCGAATATCCATCGGTGAAGATAAATTGTATTTTAAATTCGATTCTTTTTAGCCGACCATACCAATAGGTATGGTAGGCTATTAAGATCGGCAAAAAAAAAGTTTTTATAATTTCACTCAAAATGAGTTATTTGGGTCATAAATGACCTAAATACAAAATATTTTCATGATATCTGTCTGTCTGTCTGTCCGTCTGTCCGTCTGCCGTCTGTAACACGATAATTCAAAAACCGCTGAACCGATTTTAACCAAATTTGGCACAAAAATACTGTGGCACCCGAGAATCTGGCCATTAGTTTTTGGTGGAGGTGGGGGGTTGGTAAGGGGGTATGAGAGGGGGTTAAAAATTTTAAAAAATCGTAACTCCAAAATTACAGTAGCTAGCGAAACGCAGTTTTCAAATTAAGATTAGGAATAATATTTGCAACAAAATTTGTAATAGCATCAAAATCGGTCAAAGTCGCAGTTTTCGAGATATTAACATATTTTAGTATGGGCGGCTATACGTGCCTCCCGGCGCCAATTTTTTTTGCTTTAATTAAAAAAAAAACAATTTATATTTAACATGCAAATTTATGAATCAATGAAATTACACCAGTATTCTGAGAACATATGACAGATCATATATTATCCACTCGGAGCTGCAAGAAAGGAATTATTAAGAGAAATCGCTGTCATAATTTCATGCAATTTCGAATGTTGCAGCTATGGGTCCTAACTAGTAGTGGGAACTATCTAATGAATACTATCGAAACATTCGATAGTTGCAATTCATTCGAATAATTCGATAGCTAGTAAGAAAACATTCGTCGAAAACTATTCGAATAGAAATTATCGAATAGATGCGTCATCTGCCTTGAAATATTGTATTCTAGTAATTCGGTAGCAAAAACCATTCATTTATAAAATTCATTCATTTATCAAATTCATTTATTCGTCAGGATCGATTTTAATAAAATATAAACTGGATTTTAGTTGTCGTCCGGCGACGTAGGTTTCTTTCCTAGAAACACAACAGCGGTCGGCGGCAATGCTATGAAAGAAGCCGGCATCTTTTATTTTTTGCGGAGTCAAATAAAGATAAGGACACATTATTTTTTTTATTGAGGTGCTAATACAGTATGATCGAAGAAAAAACGGTGTCCAGTTGGCTGGGAAATGACAATCGCTGACATTTCCCATATAATTTTACATATAAAATGACAGCGATCTTCATTTCATAGCCATCGCTGACGCCGTTTTTATTCGATCGTACGGTATTTACACAGAAAATTATGAAGGGCGCTGTTGCCATATATTCGTATTAGTTGGTATTAGCAAAGAATATTATTCTTTAGCATTAGTTAGTTAGGGATAGTATGTCTATATGTTTTGCATTTTTTTTATTGATATTCTGTTGTTACACTGCAATAATACTTTTTATTTTGGATGTAGGAAAATGATTTTTAATGTTTTTAAGCATAGACTGGTTTAATAAATAATAATAACAGTAATAATTTGTTATACCTATTAACAACAAAATTTAAATCATTTAATAATACAAACATTTTTTTAAGTAGTAGCAAAATATAAACAACAAATAGAAGTCAAAAGTATTTATATTAGATCCTATAATATAGTCTCTAAATGGCAACGTTGATTTATTAAATAATAATAATTACAGAACTAATTTGTTATATTAATAACAAGTTTTAAAATCATGAAATATAAACATTTATTAATTTTCTAAGCATGCAGTGTAATGGAAGGAAAATATAAATAAAAAATTAGAAATCAAAATTATTTATATTACTTTTTATTACTTTATATTACTATTTAAAAATAATATTTACTTTTACTGGCATTTACTTTAAAAAATAAAGGAAATATTTCTTCGCAAAAAACTACATGTAAGAGAATTAGCATAAACAAAATACAAACATTGTTAATTTTTTTTTTAAATTGGCACCTGTAAAACTTTCAATTTAATTTTCTCACCCCAAAATTTGAGTTTGATAACCATTTACTTAACCTCATTACTTAAATATGATTATTAAGTTCAACTAATTCATATTATTAAAACATCTAAAATACAAATATATATTTTTAAAATTAATTGTAAGTTCATCTCATCTCTGTTAAAAATCGCTACTTCTCAAAATTTCCCATTAAAAAAATGCATTCTAACCTAACCATAATATACCATATAAAATTAAATAATTGAAAGATCGGGCTACGGAAAATCACACAAATTTTCGGAAAAATTTTGACCACTTCGCACACAATTGTCAATTAAAAAAAAAATACTATTTTAGTATTTTAAATATTTTAATAAACGTAAAAATAGCACAGTGTTTACAAGGCGAAGTTATAAATATTTGGAAGAACTAATAATGCACTGACGCACACAAAAATCAAACGAATACTAAATTTCATTTATTAAAAGCATTCGATAGTCGTGGCGCAACGATAACCATTTAGTCGCACGGCGAGGTTGTCACATATGCTTTAATATACAAATGAATGAATGATTTTATTCGAATAAAACCATTCGATAGTTGAAATCATTCATTCAGTAACCATTCGATAGTCTAATTCATTCGATAGTTCCCATCGCTAGTCCTAACAGCAATTGAAAAAATTAAAATGACAATTTAATCTGCCAAGTCGAGCACAGCCGTACCATCCTTTTCTCGAAGGTATTAGCGGCACTTTTGACCATCCTGTAACTTCGTTGTGGATAAAGCAAGATAATTAATTTTCACTACACTTAGCTACAGACATACTATAGCTGGCTAGGTTACCAAAATATCTAATAATTATTCCTCATAGTTTATGAATTATCGCTTGTCAAATTTCTTTAATTTCGACATGACTCACTGACAGATCATCAAAATTCTAAGTAGGTACTTCTAGATGTGTGACAAACTCCAAAATTAGAATTTTAGGAGCTTTAAGCTTATAACCAAAGGAAAAAATGAAAAAACTCGAAATATCCTTATGGATTAAAAGCTACCGGTAACTGGTTTTCCAGTCGAGAAAAATATAGAAAACTAGATATAGCTGGATGCCAAATTCTGTTTAGCTAGAGAGTTTCTTCCTTTCTGTTGAAATTATTTGGATGTTTGTGAATTTCAACAGCTTCCCTGACCAGACGAGGATGATATCCAGATGTTGTGGCAATGACTTGGGTGTTTTCGAACTGGATTTTGTGGTCACCATCTCTTAGAGCATGTTCTGCTACGGCCGACTTGTCTGTTTGCCCTAACCTGCAGCTTCTCTGTGTTCCGTAAGTCTCGTTCCTACTGAGCGTTTGGTAGTTTCCAATGTACTTACGCTTCACCGCAGGAACAAGGTATACAGTAGATCCTCGCAGAGGATAATGGTACCCTTTTATCTTTGGCTGGTCTCAAGCAGTCCTTTATTTTCCGGGTAGGTTTGTATATTGTTTTGATGTTGTGTTTCCTGAGAACTTTCCCAATCCTATCGGTGACCTGGGAGACATATGGAAGGAAGGCCTTATTAACGGTGTTATTCTGTTCATTGGCGTCAAGTCTCCTCTGCCTAGGTGCTAGCGCCGCCTTTATTTCTTTCTCATTATACCCATTAGCAAGAAAGGCTTTATTTAAGTGATTTAGTTCCTCTTGTATGTGATCCTTAGCACAAATGCGTCTTGGTCTATTTGCTAGTGTTCCGATAATCCCCTGTTTTTGGCTTGGATGGTGATTTGACAGTTTGTGCAAGTACCGGTCTGTATGAGTGGGTTTTCGATACACCGTGTGATCCAAATGGTCTCCATTTCTCTTATCAAGCACATCGAGAAAGGCTAGTTGGTTATTTTCTTCGGTTTCCATGGTAAATTTTATGCTCGGGCTCTGTGTATTAAATACTTGTCAAGAGAAATGGAGGCCATTTGGATCACACGGTGTATCGAAAACCCACTCATACAGACCGGTACTTGCACAAACTGTCAAATCACCATCCAAGCCAAAAACAGGGAATTATCGGAACACTAGCAAATAGAGCAAGACGCATTTGTGCTAAGGATCACATACAAGAGGAACTAAGTCACTTAAATAAAGCCTTTCTTGCTAATGGGTATAATGAGAAAGAAATAAAGGCGGCGCTAGCACCTAGGCAGAGGAGACTTGTCGTCAATGAACAGAATAACTCCGTTAATAAGGCCTTCCTTCCATATGTCTCCCAGGTCACCGATAGGATTGGGAAAGTTCTCAGGAAACACAACATCAAAACAATATACAAACCTACCCGGAAAATAAAGGATTGCTTGAGACCAGCCAAAGATAAGGTACCATTATCCTCAGGGATCTTACTGTGTACCTTGTCCTGCGGTAGCGTATACATTGGAACTACCAAACGCTCACTAGGAACGAGACTTACGGAACACAAGAGAAGCTGCAGGTTAGAGGAAAACAGACAAGTCGGCCGTAGCAGAACATGCTCTAAGAGATGGTGACCACAAAATCTAGTTCGAAGACACCCAAGTCATTGCCACAACATCTGGATATCATCCTCGTCTGGTCAGGGAAGCTGTTGAAATTCACAAACATCCAAATAATTTCAACAGGAAGGAAGAAACCATAGAATAACTAACTGAAAGAAATGAAAACTCCTATGTTAAAGCCTGGAAACACGCGCTCGACGCGATCCAAGCGGGCTACTGGCAGAACTAAAAGTTCGCGCCATATTTTTAAATGGACCTTTACTGCCAGTGCATAAGTTTTTTACTTATATTTGGTTTGGTTTCAATATAGATTATGAATTTATTTGTAACAAAACACTTTATAAAATAAAAATAATGTATTTTGATACAAATAAATTAATAATCTAGGTTGAAATTATCCGTGAAATTAGAATAAAACACGAAAAATCTGTAACTTGATTATTTTATTATAACATTGTTAAAATTACATATAACACATTCAACACTATACAAGTATATATAAAAGTTATCAGAATTTATACAATCAGTTATAAGTAATTATAAAAAAGGGGTTATAAATTATAAATAAATAAATCATTATATAAAAGACATATACCTAGTTAACGTGTATATAATTTGATAATATAACTTTAATCTCAACTTTAATGACCTATTCAAATAGAAACATCTTACAATTCGCGTGATATAATACACAAAGCCAAGGGACAAAATTATTAGTAAATCTATTCTCGATGACTCGAAGCATTTTTTTACAAACAAAACAGGACATATAAAGCTTATAAATAATACAAGGGTATAGAAAATATATAAATAAGTAAATACAAATATATTCTCAAACTAAATGATTAATGATTATACTCGTTTAAATAAATAAATGATCTTTTTAAAATTACTTGTTTGTCTTTGCAAATTTATTTAATATTTATCTAAAAGCGAACACTTACATAAATTACTGCACAACCTTTAAAATTAAGCTTTTAATATGTGTTATACAAATTCTTGATTCGATATAAATTCATTTAAATAAAACTTTAAAATTAATGATCTTCCAAATTTCTGAGACAGCCATTTTGTTGAAAGAATTTGTTTTGATTATGAGAAATTTCATAAAATTATCACAGGGATCAATTAATCTTATATATCGAACTACTTGGCTCTTAAATTTCACAATCCTATCGTCCAAAATACTCTAAATTCGAGAAAATCCGTAAAGTATTCCCATAAAAACAAATCACAATTCACTTCATTCACTTTCACTTTACCGAAACTGACAGAGTGGCCAAATATGGAATGATGTTTATTTTTCAATTTATTTTACTAATCTAACTGATCCGGGTCACTTAGAAATTAAATTTTTACTAAATTATTTAATTATAACTGTTTCTGGCGAAAGCAAACTTCATACCAATATTTACTCACAGAGTAACAAAGCACATCACTGTTAAATTATCAACATTTTATATAAATATTTATATTTTTCAACTACTCCAACTACTCCAATTACTCAACAGAGAATCAAACGAATTGTTAATTAAACTATACTCTGTGGATGACTTGATAAAATCATGATGAAATTAAAGTCCCTAGATGAATATCTAGGGACTTTAAATGAAATTTCTACGCAGCGGCATCTATCCCTCTACTGGCAGAAACTCCGCCGTGTTTCCAAAATTCAAATGGCAAAATTCAATGGCTTCATCCGCCTGGAAGAAACTCTCTACCTAAACAGAATTTGGCATCCAGCTATATCTAGGACCCAGGTAGCAGTACAGAGAAGTAGACCAGTTCCGGAAGAACCACCACCGGAACAAGCCACGCCCCCTCCGCCTACGCATAAATACGCGCTACGCCGACGCGGAGGCATCAGTCCAGGGCCATGTAAGTGAAATATTAAAAATGGTTCCAGCAAAAGTTTCCCAATTATGACGGGTGATGGCGCTGATCGTCAAAATTTTTGTACAGGGATTTTGCTTACCGACAATACGACGTGAGCTACGACCGGACCAGGACCAATCAGAATGATCAGTCTTTCTTGGACATTTGCCGCCGAGGTGTGTGTCAATTTCTGTTGTGATAAGTGTGGTTGTGTTTGCAGTTTGATTTTTCGGTTTTGATATTATGTTAAAATTAATTTTGAAGTATTGTATCACCTGTTTTTATGTAATAGTACTTTTTTTAGTTCTATGATCTGATATGTTATGAATTGTTAATGTTTGTTTAACAGTGTTATGCCAAAGAGGTTATACTTAATATATCAATTTGCATAGCCTAACTTTTTTATCAATAAACTTTGTAGATTTTCAGATTATTTAATTCCTTTTGTTTCCGTTTGTAATTTTATTTTTAAGACATATTATGTGGTTGTTTCACATAATATGTTTTAAAAATAAAATTGCAAATAGCGAATAAAAATAATTAAAATAAAAAAGTGTATTTTACAATTCCCCCGGCCCCGCACCCCTTTGGCTAACCTGTAAATGTCAGCTATGTCGAGAGATGGCGCTACGAAAATGGAACCGATTTATTAGAAGGAACTTGGGCTTCTTTTTCGTTAGTATATTCTGTGCATCAGTCTAGTATGAGCAATCGGAGCAAACACACCTCTGAGGATGCTAGCCACTCGTGCTAGCGAAACGTTAGGAAGCAATTCTAACCGACGACGGCCGAAAAACCCGAAAGAACAAATTTCTTCAGTATCAATGTTAGTCATCTTTATTTCTATAATAATTACAAAGACTTGGCAATTGCACGATATGATATTCTGTAGTAATTAAAAAACTTTATTCTTAAGTGCACCGTTTATTAGATTTACTTAGTAATAGAAATAGTCGATTATTCTTTTTTATAAGTATGGTGCCGTGCATGCAATTGCCAAGTCATTATAATTATAGAAAAAAAGATGACTAATAATATTGACACTAACAATTTATATCAAAATTGTTGAATAGGTGCTTAAAGAGAGACTAAATAAAATAAACTGACTTGGTTTTACATGAGATGATGAGTTTCACAACAGTTTCACAACTTTTTATAGCGGAGGAATTGTGTTGCGGGTTGCGTGACTTGGCATTTTTTTACATTCTATGTTTTTGATGGGATTAAAGTTTTCTGATTAAGGTTATCTTGGTTATAGATTTCCTTTTATGCGTTTCGCCTAAAATGTTTATTATTATGGAATACGTAGAATGTAGAATGTTAAGGAGGGGAGTGATTCACCGCGAACTTACAGATCTCTGGTGTGTCCCCCTTTCTTGAGTTATAACGAGTTATAAGTCATCATACAGTCTCAGGGCTTTAACAAAATACACACAAAACAACACAGCTTCTTTTTATCTACAGCTCTCCATCTTCGACATCTGCCGTACCAAAGTTTATGGCACGAACGGTTGTCGTCTCGGCGTATTCTGTGATGAGGTGTTCTGGTGTTTCCCCACAGAATCTGAATTCACCGTTGTTTCTAAACTTCAATCAATCTACTGAGGTGTTTGTTGAGGAGACAGCAGTGGCGGCTCGTGGGTATAAAATTAGGTGAAGAGTTAATTTTTTAAATTGCTCCGAGGCGAAAATTTTTTGGCGCATTCGCCATTTTGTCAATATTTTTTAAAATATTTGAGAATTTTTTGCTGCATTCAACATTTTGTCAACATTATTTTTGTTATCTATACTAATATATAAAATCCTTAAGTGACTGACATACTGATTAATCACGATCTTGCTCAAACCACCCAATGTAAGAAGCTCAATTTTGGCATACAGGTTGATTCTAGAGGTTCGATAAGAAGGGATTTTTCGAAATTCCAGTTCCAAGAGGGTGAAACCACCCCTCAAATATTTCAATATTTTTTATTTAAAAAACGGTCAAGTTTCCGAAAAAACGCTTAAACACGTATATTTTATTTTGTTTTTTACATAGTTTAAGATTTTTTAAAAATGTATACAGGGTGTTTCGAAAAAACTGGTCATTTATTAATCACGATCCTGCTTAAAGCGCTTGACGTAAAAAGCTGATTTTTGGAAAACAGATTGACTTTAGGGTGTAGAGGTTCGATAAGAAGGGATTTTTCGAAACTCGAATTCTAAGGGGGTGAAACTATCCCTCAAATATTAAAATATTTTTTATTTAAACCAAAAACCAAACCAAACCGGTGACTTTTTCGGAAAAACTCTTAAACACGTATATTTTATTTTGTTGTTTTACATATTTTAAGATTTTTTATAAATTTATACAGGGTGTTTCATAAAATATGCCCATTGAGTAATCACGATTCTGCTTAAACTGCTTGACGTTTAAAGCTGATTTTTGGCAAACGGATTGACTGTGGGGTGTAGAGATTCGATAAGGAGGGGTTTCTCGGATCTCAAATTCCAAGAGGGTGAAAACGCCCCTCA